CTCTCTCTCTCTCTCTCTCTCTCTCTCTGTCTTACAATTAGATTTGATTTTATATTTTATAAAAATAATTGTTTTTGTCTATCATTTGTGTCGTAAAACCGAAACCAAAACTTGTCATTCATTTCCGTGTTTTTTTAATGTATTTATAATGAATTGTAATGAAAACACCGGAAAATATTTTATGTATTTTATAAATATTTTATTTATTTCTGTTTTTAATATCTTTTTTACTTTTTTATAAAAATAATTCATAATTTTTCCAAACTTTTTGTTTTACTAAATATTTATTCAAAAACAATGTTTAAAAACAAAGTTTTATTAAAAATTTTTGTTTAATTATTACAATTATAAATATATTACAATATTTCTATTCAAACTAATGTGAATTAAATTCTTAGTCACAAAACAAATACAATATAATTCATATTATAATTGATTTTTAATTAAATTTATAACTTCTAATTTGTATCGGAGATTATAATTCAAATAAATGATTAATACATTTTTGTAATTAAATCTATTAGTTAAATTCTAACTAAATATAACCAATGTGTTCACCAAACCCTATACCAAGAGTACACTATTCACACCTAACCTAACATTATATTCCCAGAGATATACTCAACACAAAGGAATTGCAAGAATAAAGGGTTTGAAAATTGAATTAATTATACAATCGGTTTGAAAGCAAACCTATAGGTGGCGATTGTGTCCAGTCGTTCAATACAGTCTACGCTCGTTATAAGCGCGCAAAACTATTTGTATTTACCATCAAATTGACCATCAAGTAATTCACCATGATTAAAACAAACTAACAAACACCAAGATCATTCGGACCAAAAACAAAAATCATATACAACATCATATAACTAACCTGAACAACAAAACAGCCTAAACAACCTAGCTCTGCGAAACATGCAAAACAAAACCTACAGTATATACAGTTATGGTTGTACTGTATATATTTTATACAGGTGCCACTGTCTATAAGTGCCCGCAGCACTACGCGTGCGCACACCTGGTTTAAATTTCAATGCATTTTGAGATCGCGATGGTTTTGGTTTTGGTTTATCGATTTGATACGACACTATCGCCCAAAACACCACTGCTTTGAACGGCACAAACGCATAGACCCTGTGCTCTGACTGTATGTTCACTGTCTGTGCACTGCCTGTGCTCTGCCTGTGCTCTGCCTGTGCTCTCTCTCGCGTATCCATTCCTCTATCACTTTCTTTAACTCATTGTGTGTTTTGTTTTGTATTTCTGATACATATTATAATCGTTATCCATATTAATACACTTTGTGTCTCAATATAACGTTCATACATTTCAATCTATTGTCATAAATCACTCATACATTCATTGGATTATAATATATATGAGTCATAATTAATAAATTGTGCGAATAGTGCGAAGAAAAATAAAAATAATATAAATATTTATTTGGTCACCCTATCGTGCGATCGCATCAAACACTTGATTAACCAAAAAACTAATAATGGTTGAATGTGTGCGAGGGCAAATATTCGAGGTGGGACCGAGGTACAATAATTTGTCCTACATCGGCGAGGGTGCCTACGGTATGGTTGTGTAAGTATAGCACCATTAATGGCAATTGCCCAAAATTACCAGCTAGTTTGTAATTTGTTAATCGTAAACCAGCTAAGCGCATTAATTAAATTTTGTCAATTTAATACACATGTATTGATATAAAACTGACCATATTGAATTTGTCACTCTGCCCGTTAGGTCGGCCTGGGACAACCTGAACAAGATGAAAGTGGCCATTAAGAAGATCTCGCCCTTCGAGCACCAGACCTACTGTCAGCGCACACTTCGCGAGATTAAAATACTGACCCGTTTTAAACACGAAAACGTGAGCCAACCCTTTCCTATTCAAACAAACACACCCTCCCGTGCTGTCGGGCCCACCCACTGCATACACCTAACCTAAGTCATTTTAAGTGACCATGGTGTATATTTACCGTTACGCGCTCGGTTGGCGTTTGGTGTGGTTGCTAAAAATCAATCTAGCTATAAATGTTCAATATAGTGATTTGATTAAACATGTTAGTTTACCTTCAGGGCGGCCCCTGACACCTGTCAGGCACACCCATCGCACACACCCTTTACCCCCTTTAATAGCCTAACACAGTGTGTAATAAACATAATTATTTCATACCGTGTGTCCGAGTGGTCACACAATACACACCCATTTTAATACCCGAACCCATATAATTGACAATTAATTGCTGTATCTCTCGGCCCCTTCGGGTGCAGATCATAGACATCCGGGACATAATCCGCGCGCAGAACATCGACCTAATGAAAGACGTGTATATCGTTCAGTGCCTAATGGAGACGGACTTATACAAGCTGTTGAAGACCCAGAAGCTGTCCAACGACCACATCTGTTACTTCTTGTACCAAATACTGCGGGGCCTGAAGTACATCCACTCGGCGAATGTACTGCACCGGGACCTCAAGCCATCCAATCTGTTGCTGAACACGACCTGCGATCTCAAGATATGCGACTTCGGGTTGGCTCGGGTGGCGGACCCCGAACACGATCACACGGGCTTTCTCACCGAATACGTGGCCACCCGATGGTATCGCGCGCCAGAGATTATGCTTAACAGCAAGGGCTACACCAAGTCTATCGACATCTGGTCTGTCGGCTGTATTTTGGCCGAAATGATCTCAAATCGACCCATTTTTCCCGGTATGTCATCGACAGAGAGAGAGAGAGATATAGAGGGGGGGG